TTTCTATGACAAGAAGGTGTGGGAAGGATGTTAAATTGGATCATGGAGAGTAAAAGTGGGTGATTTTATCAAATTAAAATATTAATATAGAGAAAAATGTGAATTTGTATTTATCAGTAAGTTACTGAAAGCAGAACCTACCCACTTTCTAAATGCAAAAAAGTCTTTTAAATCATTTTGTCTCTTAATTTTTTAATTTAAGTTCTCTTTTGATAATGAGCTTAGAGCTGATCATTGCACAATTAACTACCTTCTGGGAAAGCATCAGCTGCTAGGTGCCAGCCCTGGGTCAGTTTGTGTTCCTGACATAAATGCTGTAAATCTCTAAGGGAGATTTAGGGGGAGAGGTTGATGGCTTCAAATATCTTGGAAGCTTTGGTGCTCTCAGGATTCAAATCTCCCTGAAGTCACAAATTTTGCATAAAACACAGTGCAGAAAAATTAGATCCCATCATAAGATCCATTGTTCGGAAATGCTTCTGCAACATTGCTGTTCTCGGCTAGGTTTTTTGGGATCTAGGATTATGACTTCTGCCTCGGAAGAATTTTTTTTCTTAAGGTACATATCCATATATATATCACTCAAGTATCACATTTTGGATGACTTGATAGTATTAGCGGAAAAAATCTATATATCTGTTTTGAAGGGCTGTATGTTTCATATACATATAAATTGTATCTCACTAATTTCCCATATTTTCAACAGTTAAAAAAATCTGTGTAAATCCCTGTTTACCATAATATTTTTCCGTTGCAGTCTCATCGATTGTATAGTCTGAGAGAACTAAGAAATGAATTGTCCTGCAAAGGGGCAGCTTGTTTTCTGTGCTCACTCTTAGCATGAATAATGGGATTCCAGAAAAAAACCCACAAATCCAAGTGTTTCTGTGTAGCCTGCTAATATTAAATGCTGCTCAGGTAACTCTGTGTTTTGAAATAAGTGGATCAAATTCTCTGCAGAGTCTAATCCAGGCTCGCGCTGCCACTGTTCAAAATGTACATATGTTTGGAGAACAGCTTGTGGCAAATGCTTAAAAGAGGTGTGAATAGATTAGTAAAAATTTTTAAGGGCGAGTGGAATCATTTATCACCAGTCAAGTGATCTGGGACTTCCTTTAAAAGGTTCCATTATTAAATGCTCTGCTTAGATAAAAATAAAACACTGAAGATGCAATTTAAGAAAAAATATGATGTGCTAACAAAGCCATAATTAAATGCCAAACATGGGAGGTTTCTTCCTGAGAAGAGACGTGTGATGCTGGGAGCGATCGAAGGGCTGCGGAGCTCCGCGCTGTCCCTGGCCATGACCAGTGGCAGAGGGGACAGCACCTGCAGCAGACAGAGACCTTCCCCAGGCACCTCCTCATCTTTCACAACCATGATTTTCTGATTTAATCAGCAGTGGATCCACCCTTGTGAATTTGTCTAATCCCTTTTTGAATCCTTTCATTCTTCTGGCCCTCCAGAAGGTTGCCCCACCTCCTCTTCTCCAAGCTGCACATAGCAAACTCATGGACTACTTTGAACAGAGGCTGTTCTCTGCTTCTGACTGCCATGTTGTCTTTCTCTGAATCTTTGCTAGCTCAGTGCTATGATTTTTGAGTGGGGCTACTGGAACTATCAGCAATACTCAGACTTTAGGTGCACAGAAGTAACTAGCAATGGTTTGTTTCATTTGCTATTCTTTTTCTAAATCTTAAAATTGTATTTACTGTTTTACTAAGTTTATGTTTTTAGAGAAGTAGGCACACTGATTTCAAGATCTCCTGAGTGGTAATAATTAATTTAGGGCCCATCCCTGCTTAAGCTTAGGCAGGGTTATTTTTTCCCCATGTGCATCATCTTGCATTCCTTTTCATGAGATCTTGTCTGCCACTTCACTCAGCCCACTCGGTACTGACAGTTTTACAGCTCTTCCATGCCTGTTTTAGATGTGACCATTCTGAACGATAAAAATTCTCCATTATGGAAATTCACAGTTCATTTCTACCTTTGTTCCTTAACTTTCACCTAATTAATCCCCTATGAGAGTATCTCCTTATCCCTTCAAAGTAAGTATATCACCACCAAAGGCTCTTAAAATTAAAAGTTTTCTAACATATTCTGACACGTTCATATTTTCATGAACAACCTGCATATCAAATAATCTGCATCCCTTCGAAGCACTCATGCTTGTAAATAAATCCTTAAGTAAATCCTTCCCTCCCAAGGCAGCAGCAGGGACCATGGTGGTCAGGATATTGTGGCTTAGGAGGAGACTCAGGCAGATCTCCAGTTGGGAGAGCGAGCAGAGACCAGCAACTCCTCGGAATATTACTGGGAGAGAAGGAGCAAGGAGATATACTTTTCCTCATACGATCTAGAAATGCAGAGAAACCAGCTTCTGCTGAATGGCTGTGAGTTTCATTAGTGATTCACTGGATTTGCCCATAAAACCCTGATATAGCATACCACTGGTCTCCTTTGCAGACTCTGGCAGAGATTCAGGTTCCTTCTGCAAAAGCTTTCCACACCCCACTCCGCAGCAAGATCATATGACAACACATTGCACCAATACTACCTCAGAAGAGGAGCATTAAATCCTCAAAAAACGAAGTGCAGTAGAAAAGAGACCTTGACAGACACAAGCTTTGTCCTGAAGGCCACCTACTGTTGATCCTTTCAGAGCACAGCAGGACAAAGGGAGTGCAGTGGTACCAAAACATTTAGAGTAGATACCTTTATGGGGAAGATAAAGGCCATCAGGCTTAAGAGGAAGAAAAAATGAATACAAAGTTCCTCCTCTTTCTCCCTCCCTTCCCTTTTCTCAGGATTTGGAGCAGAGTCGGACTCTTATGGCGCTCTCACCTCCAGCTTTGATTTTAGCAGACATCTCAAACATGTAGACATCTGCTCTATTCACTTGTCAGGTGCAAGAAGTCCAAGTCCAACAAAAATTGTTCTGACAAATTAATAGGATTTCCCACCCACCCCACCCCCTACTGAAATGATGTCTCTACTTAATTATTTAGGCTAGCAAAAACATCTTCTTTAGGGTTAGCAATGGCAAGCATAGGAATTTTAACTATGGCATCTCGGCCATAATACTTCCCCTTCTTTCTTCCCACTTTCATGTAAGGCAGTCTCATTTTCAGATCTCCACTGATGTGTAGTACAGACATGGTAATTTCACATATACCAGAAACAGGCACGTTTTAGTCTTAGCTTAAATGATTCTTGGTCATGCTTTAAGAATTGATTTGATGCGAAAGGCTCTGTGTGAATGAAACCATTTCAGTGTCGTTGCTCTTTTACTTGTTTACTTACTGATACGCTTGCGTGGCAGTTATACATCTGCATCGAGGGCAAAATAAATGCAAGTTTTGTACAAAGTGCGGCTAGTTATATTCAGCATATTTTAAAATATAGAAATTTTTAGACATTGTGACATAAATTAGGTGCTTATTTCCTAAGCAGCAAGACATTTCTGAAGTACACTAATTGAGCTGTATTACTTAAAACCATAATTTAATTTATATTCTTACCTGAACTATAGTGGTAAAGAAGCATGCAGTTTGATTATGGCTTGCACTTCAGAGTACTCTCTTACATTTTTAGTTCTCAGAAAAATAATTTTTAACACTGTAAACAACACTTGCATCCATACTAGAAACAAAAGTCACTTTGAGGTATGTGTATTGTGACTTTGCATGAGATGTGCAAACTGTGTTTATCACCATCACCTTCAGGGAATGTTTATCAGAGGGCTGAGAAATTTGTTCTGCAGTGACAGAGTATTCTGAACACACCTCCTGTTAGAGCTTTGTTTTATATGGGCATTGATAGCCTAGATATTTCCCAAAAAAATGTTTGATTAATCTTTTCTTTCACCTTTTCCGAGTTCTTTTTAGATATTAGAACTTTAAGGATATATTATGTTAAAAAAAAAGAAACACAACTCTTTTTAAACACCAGTTGCAGGTGGATAGTGAGGCCAAGCAGCTCTGTGGTAAGTTTGCCAAGACTGAAGTGTGAGATTGGTGAGGGATACTCAGACACCATTAGGATATTAATAGAACATATAGACAAATTTAATTGTGATAAGCATATTTATGAGTAGTAGAGAAAGAGAAAAATGCTTTTTGGGGAGCCTAGATAGAGAGAAAAGAAGTCAGCTATAGTATATGCACTTAGTTAAAAAACAGAGAATAGGGAAGAAACACTGGGACAAAGATCAAGAGTAATATTTAGAAAATTCAATGGAAAATAAGGGAAAAGACAGAACAAGAGAATGGATGGAGTACACAGAAAGGTGGAGAACCACAGAGAAGAGCAAAAGGAGAAACAAAGTTGATCTGTAACGTTTTGAGAATGGGGAGGGGAGTGTCTATTTGATGTAGTAAATGTGTCTATGCACTCATAATTAACTGTAAATTCATGCTGGCATGTATCTAATTAGAAAGCTGCACATCTCAATAAATCTTCAGTATGACTTCTATTTATCAGTTAACATATTTGAATGGAGGAGGAGAACAATTTAGTGAACCCTGGGCATTTTCAGTAATAACATCTGTTTGTATATAAAATAAATCATGTTTGTAGTGCCTCTATTGCAACATACAAATAAAGAAATTCTGTAAACTAGGAGGTGGGAGGCAATTTATGACTACTACTTATTGTGCAAATTTATCCCCTTCGCTGTTTTAATGCCTTATTGTTCTCCTGATCTGTTTATTGTCTTGTTACGTGCCAGGTTTGCAAACTAGCTGAACCATGAACTGATTTTGGACTTCATATGTATATGCCATGTATATGTACATCTGGATTCTGAATTTTTAGTGAAATCTGTACTGTGTTAATGCAAATGACATTTTATAAGAATTTATTTTCTTATACATTTATACACAAGATGTTTTTTAATTCATATAGAACTTTCTTCCAAATGAACTCATTTTCTTTTCCTTGTGAACATCACCACTTGTTTCAGCATATGTTAACTGTGACTATTGTTCCTTGTCTAGCTGTACCCCATAAAATAGGGCGGATAATTGATGGAAGTCCTGCAGATCGCTGTGCAAAACTTAAAGTTGGAGACCGGATCTTAGCTGTGAATGGCCAGTCTATTATTAACATGCCTCACGCAGATATTGTGAAGCTAATTAAAGATGCAGGTCTCAGTGTAACTCTTCGCATCATTCCTCAGGAGGGTAAGTCAATGACCCTTAAAAACAGGAAGAAAATTTTAAGTAGCCTCCAATTAGCTTGAATTATGTCACCGCTTGAAAGAACATCTTTTGTTTCGCTTTCTCAGCTGTAACGTACAGCACACCAAAATTACAGCCTTGGAACCAGCTCGAATAATATCTGAATTCTTGAAAAGGTTTCTAGTTATGAAAAGGGTATTTAAAGCAAACCTGGAAAAACCTGAGAGAGAGCTGAGTACCAGAAAGTCAGTGTTAATGTCTTTTGGAAGACTTGTCTTCTACATGGAAAAGGACCCTACAAGAGAGACAGGTTTTGAGTTTGTTCCCTTATATCCTGCTATAAACCAAACCAAAGTTTGGCAAAGTGACTCACAAGAGACTGCAATGGCTGTCACCAGACATGTTCAGCTACCAGCTACCTGTGACAAAAAGCAATGTGAAGGAAGAGTTCAGATTTGGTAGTTTCCTCCACATATATCACTATAAATGCACAAGGCAAGAAAGAACTGAACCCTAAATTATCTCATTTGTAAGATGAGGATAAGGGGACAGACTCATTACTCTGGTCATTACTCCACAGCTAATCAGTGAAGATCTTTTGATATGGGTTTCATGGGTTTTGGGGTTGATTTCAGGGCTTTTTTTAGTATAGTGATGCGCTGTACTGGTGTATGAATTGTACTGTATTAATGAGACTGTGTCTTTATATCTCGGCAACAAATACCATTAGAGCTAGGAATGTCACCTAGCAAGTAATGTAATTACTTAATGATCCATGCTCCAGTTAGACGACCTTCCCCTTCTGCTGCTGCATCCAGCAACGGGACAAGGAAATAGTCTGACACTAGCCATGGTCTGTAACTGGGGGAACTTACCTACTTTGTTAAATAAATGCAGTGAAGGGAAAAACACAAACATACACAAGTTCAGAATTCACACCAAAGAGCTGCTGTATAATAACTGGAGGTCAGTTTTGCAAGAATCTACAAAGTGTGATGCTGCATGCAGCCCATGCAGCTTATTTAGGCCTCCCTGGTACCCAGATTAATTCATATTAGCAAATTGCTAATAGTTCAGTGTTAGAGATGGGTACCTTAAATTAGAAAGAAAGCAGGGGTGCATCTGAGATGCAGTGCTACAAGATGTTCTCAGGTGCTAGTGGCGAGAAATGATTTGTGCCCAAGGCATGGCTTCCCTGTGTGACTGTGTGACACTGGACACCTCATTTGCCTTCTGATATTAGCTTCCCAGCTTATAAAATTAGGAAAAAATCTAATACCTCTGTAATGTACTTTCAGGTGAAAAATACCATATAAATGCAAAGCAGTTTTAGAAGCAGCTTTACGATTTGACTAGTTCATCCATAGTTATGAAAGTAATGTAGAAATGAGGGACAACATTCCCAATCTTCCTCTCTGAAACTCTGCAATACAAAAGAGACTCACAGATGCAAAATGGGCAATTAAAACCTTAAACATAGTAATTACACAGACAAGTATTGCTTATGCCTGCATGAGGAGTGTTTTAAGTGCAAATACACAAGCTTTTTTGACAATTAAGCCTAAATTGAAAGATTTTTCATAAAGTAGCCAAAATTTTTTAAATAATTATGAGCGTAAACTAAATAAGTAGAAAGCCATTAGAAATGTGCAGTCATAGGGGACAAATTCACATGTTAAAAAATAAAATAATTCAAAATTCATACTAGATTCAAATATAAAACTAGGCAAGATCTGGATCATGCATAGCTATTGCTGTTAGGTATGCTCAGCCATATGCATGTCCATTCTTGATGCTTTGCACCACGCCACATTGGCCTCGCTCATTCTGTTGCAAGCAGGAATAAAAAAATATAATGTGTAACTTTGCTGTTGATAATGCACGAGCAATTACTTCTGCAGTGCTCTGTCTTCTTGTGGATGGAGTCTCTCTCATTTACGTTTCTTAATAGATAAACAAGCAACATAACTGTGCCAGTGTGTCGGGAGAAATATATTCGACATGAGCTCAGTGCCAAATGTGTCTTTCCCTAAGTGCAGTGGGAAGCCTGAAGGAAGACTGGCATCCTTTACTTGTAACAAGGCCACGAGGCCACATTTCCTACCCCAGCCTCTCTGTCTTTTTGAATATTATGTTGTTTGGAAGGAAGGATTCTGGTTTTCTGCAGTATTCCTATGTGAAACCCTGGTCATTTGGCACAATACAGTGAAATAAAACATCAGTTTAGCTGGCTAGTCAGAATTTATTGAGATTGGGTTTACTGTTCACAGTCCCCAAAGATTTAAAAAAGATAGGAAACTCTTGTTGAGCTCAAAGACAGCAGCAGCTAACACAAACACACCAGTGTTTTAGCTTTTGTGATGACAGTCTGTCATCCATAAGACTGGTGAAAGCAATAAAATCGTTCATTCTTTCAAAATGAAAAGTTTTCAAATATCAGTATTTCTAGGCTTTAAAAGAAATCATGAAACACAGAAGCCATTTGCTTTGTTCAATTGGGTTTTAAATAATGGAGGTGTCAACTGGAGTTATAGAATTGACCAAGATTTCAGATCCCACAGACTATCAAAAGGAGCCCATTAGGTTCAGATGTCTTAAAATCTAATTATAACCCAAGAGAGTAAAAGCGACAAAGCATAAATTTTCAGAGGTAGCGTGTGACCAAAAATGATTATTGTCTACCTTTGCCCTTTATTAAATGCCGTGCTGTGACAGGTCTTTAATCTCCAGCTTTCCATTACGCAGAGCTGAACAGCCCAGCCTCGGCCCCCAGCTCGGAGAAGCAGAGCCCCATGGCCCAGCAGCACAGCCCCATGGCCCAGCAGAGTCCCCTGGCGCAGCAGAGCCCCGTCGCCCAGCACAGCCCCGTCGCCCAGCCACCGCCTCCGCAGCCCCTCCAGCTGCAGGGACATGAAAACAGGTAAGAGCGGCTCCTCCAGCCTCTGCCTCCTGTGAGGACCACAGGACACCCTTGCGCTGGGTCTTCATGCTGTTCCTAGGGGCTGTGAGCCATCGCCTGTGGGGCTCTGACAAGCCACAGTCCCGTGATTGCGCTCACAGAACATGAATTGTGCATGCCAGGATGATCTGTAAGTCTTGTTCAGGTATAAAACACATTATTATGAACAAGGGTCTAGCCAACCTTCCTCAAACATCCATCAGGATCATATGTTTGCCAAGGAACTAAACACTGAAGTATTCCTTGCTAATAATTTCATTGCTAATATATTACTTTCTTATATCACAACTTACAAAATACAGGTATATCAGTATCCGATCGTGAGGTGGCCTTTTTTTTCATTATCTGACATGTCTTTTTTTTTTTTTGTCTGTTAGAGTTCTAGAGTCAGGAATATATTTTTATAACAGGTTTTATCTATGGTGTATTATTTTCCAGCCAATTTCTCATGTGTAATTTTTTTTTGAAATTTTTTTTTTTTTTTTTGTCTGTTAGAGTTCTGGAGTCAGGAATATATTTTTATAACAGGTTTTATCTATGGTGTATTATTTTCCAGCCAATTTCTCATGTGTAATTTATGCATATGCATTGACAAATTTATCTGGATGGAAATTAAATGGTAGGGGGATAGAAATTTTGTGACCAGCTGTATTAAAAGCTGTATATATAAAAAGCACACTCAGGCTGTGGGATGATACAACTTTCTGTGATCTCCAATCAACACTATTTAGTCTTGGGATTAATTTTTGGCATGTTAAATGAGGCTGATTACACTGACTGTCTTTATGCTAATCTTCAGTAACCAACATACCTCATCAGGACCCTCTTCCCCAAATAGTAGATTCTGGTTACAGAATTATAACTTTTTGCTTCTGGAGATACTTGAGTTCAGTTGTGATTTAGACACTATGCCCTCTAATTCTCCTTGCTTAACAGATGTAGCACTTTCACTTGCCCAAAATTATTTTCTCTCAATTAGTCACACTTGGCAAATTTCTTTGCTTTGTATTTCATTGGGTACTTCTTCCAAAAGTGATCACCTCCTAGAAGACATATGTTTCTGACAAAATCCAATGCAAAGCTTTCAGAAAAGTCTGCGCAGTTGTAGGTCAGCATTAAATGTCTGTTGAATTGGGAATTTTCAGAGGGGACCAGTAAATGATATTAATTAAAGTTCCAAAAAGAAATTCTGTAATAGTTTTACTGAAAAGCATAAGCTATAATTGGTCATGCCACCATTTGTGTATTCAGCAAAAATTGCAGTGCCTCCAACTGTAAATAAAAGCATCATCTTCTGGGATACAGCTGTGGTCGTATTTTGGGAACCTGACTAAGGATGACTCTTATTCCAGAAAAAGGTCCATTATGGCTAGTTCATATAGTATAATTTTTCACTAGACTTTATAAGTCAGATTACAGCTTGTTTATATAGCCATGTACATTGTTTCTGTATCAAAATCAAAATACTATAAGATATTTAAACTCTTAGGAATACTAACTAGTATTTTTACTTCCAATATTAATGAAGCTCAGTATCATAGTAAGCCTGTTTGTTCTCCGTCTTCTTTGTACAGGATCATGATACCGAGTAAAGAAAGTAAGAGGATTGCATGTATGCATGCAGATCTTATTATAGATGCCATGTACCGGTTTTAAAAGAACATGTGGCAGCAGGCTATTTTCATCTTCTCAGAAAAGTCAAAGGGAAATACTTCTGATATTTTTGTGTCTGGTTAGACATTCAGCTAATTAAAGCTAGTGTGTAGGAAGTTTTGCCATAATGTTACTGTAACTGTGCTAATAAAGTAATGAAGTTTTGAAACATATCTGAAACATTTTGAAATGTTTAGAATATTTAGATTGTCTTTTCATACATAAATTAACATGATCAAAACCAATGCTCTCAGTTTTTCAGAATGTGATTTTTTTTAATCACTAAGTACATTTCAAAATCCCTTTCACAGTCTGTATGTGTTCATGTATCTGCACGTGTACATGTACATACATGGCCACTTGGTTGACTGAAAACTTCCAGACCATTATTAAAGCAGAGTTTGAAATGTGTTATTTCCTGTACAGGAAAAAAATATTTCCATTGGTACCTAGGGGAGAGTGTAAAAACATCCACTATGTGAAAATTTTTGTTAAATCTAACTCAAACCACTATTACAGAATTACCTTGCTAAAAAGGTTCGGGAATTCCTTTGTGCCCATTCAGCATGTTACATGGCTGAGGTACAGAGATTTGCAGTAAGAAATATTCCTTACTTCACCCTGAAGTGTGAAATGCCATTATGCACTGATTTCCATGTGGTAAGGGAAAAGTTTACTCATTCCCATCTGAGTAAATTAATTAACTAGTCGCTATACTACAGAAAGTCACATTTTCTTTGAAATGTTAGGACTCATCTTTCTGTAACCAGTGACCAATTAAAACAATAATTTACTTGTTATTAATTCCTTATTAACCCAATTTGTTTTCCTTTCACCCTGTGTTACTTCTGTGCATAACTACTGATATGACCTGATACAAGCTTGTAGCCAGATAGTATTACAGGGAGTGTGTAATAATAATAATACACGCTATATTAACAGATGTTATATCAAAGAATATCTTTCATTAAAAAGATGACAGCTAGTACAAAGAAGCTCACAATAATAATAGTTTATGTCAATGAAACAGAGGGGCTATAAATGTCTGCACTGATGTTTCATTTACTCTATAGATATCTTAATTCTGGAAAAAAGCACTTTATAAACTCAGTGCATTATTTTGTAGTGAGTTTTGTGGGTGTTTTCACATGCAGTTTCATCTTCCAAGTAGGCAAGATAGGTGGGAATCAAGATGCTTTCCCTGTTCCTGTCCTTTTGAGTCTAATCCTGATCTCACTGATACGAGCTGGAAAATTGCACAGTATGACCTGAGGGAAAATTGCTTACGTCCATGTTTCAAAAGCGCTCACTGTTTTTGGATGCCTCAACTATTTACCCCCGAATGTTTTGCTTCTCTGTGAAAATTTGTTTTATGCAATTTTGCAGTCAGGCAGTTTGCTTTCACTCTTCAATATTGCATGTAATGCATATTCTTAACGTTTTGCCACTTTCTGAAACTAAGTCATTTTGTTTTTCTCAGTTATAGGTCAGAAGTAAAAGCCAGACAGGACGTGAAACCTGATATCAGGCAACCTCCATTTACAGACTACAGGCAGTCCTCAACGGACTACCGACAGCCTCCGCTGGACTACAGGCATCCTCCGGTGATGGATTACCAGCAGCCACCACCTCTCGACTACAGGCAGCCGCCCTTGATAGATTACAGGCAGCATTCGCCCGACACCAGGCAGTACCCTCTGTCAGAGTACAGGCAGCCCCAGGTACAAACTGAAATACTTGCAGCACTCCTAAACAGAAAGCATCGGGTCTGTAAGGAGAGATCATGTATATTAGTAAAAAAGATGACATTATAGAAGAAAAAGGCACCTTTATTGGTTTTACTCTGAGTTACTATTTCTCTGTAGAGGGAATTACCTCAAAACCATTAATATTAATGAAGAACTATGTGATCTGTCAAATAGCACTACATTTATAGTTGTGTGACTGTAATGTTAAATAAATGCTATTTTTAAGTACTGGAGAGTTAAAATAAAAGTTCTAAAATAAGCTGCCTTTGCATCAGTGAGGAATTTTTTTTTATTCCTAGGAACATAATACAGTCATCAAACAGTGGACGTACTTAGGTCAGACTGCATTTCTACAGTATTGTTGAAAATGAAGATTTTATCTAATCTGAATAAATAAATAAATAAATGTGAATCCTGACTAAGAAAATACATTTCTGTTGGTAATAGTCTGGATGAGGAGAAACTAGCTTGTGCAACTTGTTTCTTTGACATCAGGCATGATCTTACAGATTCAAAGAAATAAAACTTAGATGAAGAGTTATATTACCTTAGACAAGGCTCTGCTGGTGACAAATATTTACTGACAGCTGTGAAGGTTTGAGGATTTAGCCCAAAGTTCAGACTTTCAAAAACGTCTTCCTTTCTCCTTACATAAAGGCAGAAACAAACAGAGGTCAGAAAAATATTAAATAAGAGAATGTAAACTTCTGGACACTATATGCTGGAACCATATATGGATGGTTTCTATGTCCGTATTTTCAAAGCCAGACACATAAATCATATCAATGAAAATATCCAAATTCTTAAATGGGATCCAGAGAACCCTCTGAAAATTCTTCCTTTCTCCTTACATAAAGGCAGAAACAAACAGAGGTCAGAAAAATATTAAATAAGAGAATGTAAACTTCTGGACACTATATGCTGGAACCATATATGGATGGTTTCTATGTCCGTATTTTCAAAGCCAGACACATAAATCATATCAATGAAAATATCCAAATTCTTAAATGGGATCCACAGAACCCTCTGAAAACTTTATGCATTTCAGTGTCTAAATAGCAAATCCCTATCCCCATGCGCGTACCCTGTAAGATGTTTCTTAGCATCTAGAGAGATGCTTAGACTGCCTGTTTCTCACTATCTCCAGTTTAATTCTCTAACCACTGGTCTGCACAACCCAAACTTGCTCTTATTTTCCTCCTACTCCCATGGTTCTTGCGATCCTCAATGCCAATGGATCAGAAGCAACAGAGCAAGTTCCCACCCAGACCCCTCTACGGGGCTGGTAGTTAGGGTCCACCAAGAAAAAACTGGAAAGATGAATCTCAGTCTCTGCAGGACACAGAAAGGGTAAAGCTCAAATCTCCTACTTCTCACCTCCTCCTCAAGGCACATGTTTTAACCAAAGTGATGAGAGTCGCTGTGCTTTGTGACTCCATGCAATCCAGCCTGCTGATCATGTTAAGTTCTGCTGGGAATTTAGGAGGTGTCTCTCCCACTAATTTTTAGTTGTGATGATGCTTATACAGGAGCTGCCTGCTACCTCACTTGCCAAATCAGCACTTCTTGCATAGACATAAACACTCATACTCAGGTACCATGAAAGTATTTGGGTGAATATGGAAACCATCTAGAGAGCTTTTGGTACCAGACAACTGCTGGATCATGCCCTTTCAGGGTAGTTTAGATTTAGGCATTTACATTTTGCTGAAGTCTCTTTTCAGAAATGGCCAGTCTGTCAGCGCAGAAGTATACTTTGAAGGTGCCTTTGCTTATATCAATTGGATAGACGCACTTTTGAAGAGACATATTTTAAAGTTTTCTTGAATGTGTACCATGAGATTCATATGGTTAATTGTCTTCCATTTTGTATATGTCTATACAGGACTTTGATTATTTCACCGTTGATTTGGAGAAAGGAGCCAAAGGGTTTGGGTTTAGCATTCGAGGAGGAAGAGAGTACAAAATGGATTTGTATGTGTTGAGGTTAGCAGAAGACGGACCAGCAATAAGAAATGGAAGGATGAGGGTAAGTAAAATGTATTGTAACAATTTTTTCAGCCTCTACAGATATGTTTGCTGACGGGGTCAAAGAGAAAGCAGGTTTGTTTCATCTCTGATCATGTTTTAAAGAACCAATGCCAAACACCTCTAATAATATAAACTTGTCCTGAAGAGCTGAAGAAACTTCTTGTAACATATAGTAGGTCTGTGTAGTTTCTTTGTGGAATAAATGTATTACTTCTTGTTGATAGTAGCCTTTACTGTGTTATATATTTTTCTCCTTATTCTTTCACTCATGTCTAAGCAACTTAAAAATCTCTGATGAAGAGTTTGTTATTTCTTTGATAATAATACCAGCATAATTAACAGTTATCTCTCTAATCACAAAAGCAAAGTGATAGCTATGAAACCTAAGACCTGGTCTGTGTTATTTTACTGATTTAATCAAGTTGTCTTCATAGTGTTTGCTAAGTTTGTTTATTGATATTATTCAATCTTGTTTGCAGAGATCAGTTTTCACTATTTGTATGAATAGATCTTAGTGCATTTGAGTCCCGTATTGGTAGAAATTATAATAACACCACATCCAAATACTGAATCTAAATGCATTCACTTCAGAAATTCCTTTATAAAAGCATTACATGTTCTATGTAGGAAAAATAGCCTAATAAAAATAGATGGTTTTAATCTGTCCAGTTGTGCTAAAGAAGAGGCATCAACTCATCAAGGGTTGCTGATACCTTGCAGAATAGTGAGTACACAAAAAGGAGGAGAAAACATTGGTGAAAGAGACTGCCATAAAAAATGTGTTTATGTATTTAATTAGTGCAGCCTTGTTTACCCAATATTTAATTATAAAGATGGTCAATGGAAATTGTGTTCTGTACAGTACTAATAGCAGATTTTGCAAATGTCATGGTTGTTACACAGATTCTGTTTCACGACCCTAACAATCTCATCATTTGACTTCATACTGAAAGAGCATTGTCATCAGTCTAAATAAACAATCAGAGACTTTCTGTATATAACTCAGGAGTTTTAGTATGCTTCAAATCACTCTTAATTTGCCCACTTTGTAGAATTTTAGAAGTCAGGTAGTCCTCAGTCATACCGTGGAGTGCAAACCCTTGGCACGGGGAGCTTGCGTAAGGGAGCAATGGCATAAGAAGTCCCTGTGACAAGGAAGCCAGGCAGGCAAGTAGGCAGGCAACTGGTAACTGAGAAATACTCCCACAATATTTGCTGTATGAAATATAGGTGAATTAATGCAGCAGCTAGAACTTTAACTCAAGAATATCTTCTCTGGTGAGTGTTTTCATTCTTTCTTTTACTGTAGCACTATCACAGTCAGTTGTTCTTAATGAAAAGCTGTAAGAGAGATGTACATTGTCAGCCATAATGTAATTAAAGATGAGGAAAAAGTTGTGCTTTTGTTAAGCTCTGGAATCATATATTTGGAAACATATGGCTAAGATTACACAACAACAGAAGAACAACATCTTTAGAGAAGGTTCATTTCAAATAATAACCTCTATTAGGCAAAAAACTAACCTATTAAAATGTGTGCATCATTTGAATAAACTAGTACCACAGAATAAATTTAGACTATCCACTCTGTGATAACCTAAATATACAAAGTGTGTAACACAAATACACAGCTTTTTTCAATTTTGTTAGGAAAAGTCTGGTATTTTATAATGAAAAATGTTAATATATTTTCTAAAATAACTTATTTTAAAGCATTTTTGTTGATGTGGCCACAACACACAGCCAACGGTTATTCTGGCCAGATAGTTGTAACTGGGTTTTTTCTCCCCTTTAAAAGCGTCATTCTTTGGACTCAGTTTTACCCTCCAGCCTTGTCACTGAGTCTTGTGTTGTATTCTCCTGTTTAACAGCCATTTTAACCTGACAGTCACAAGTGGGTTTGGAACTTGCAAGGCTTTTATCTCGTGACCTGTAACTGATGAAAAACAGAAGCTCAAGAAACAGCTTCTTCAAAACAAAAATAGAAAAACAAACCAAAAAATAATAATTGCTGAAAGGAATAGAGAGTATAGGAAGATAAGCAAAGGAAGCAGAGTTCTGTACCCATATCTCCTTTACTAACTTTACATCTGCTGTCAATAATGCAGGTTCATTCCCATTTCTCGGCTGGGACCACCAGCCTGCTTGCTGCAGTTCTGTATCCCTCTGTTTCACAGATGCATCTCTATAGCAAAATATGCAAAAATATGTTCAGTGCTTCTCGCTTCACATGCCATCATGTTTAAAGATCAGATTCTCAGATCCTAGGCTTTCAGCACTGGGGATAGTAAACCATGCTTATGTGGTAGGATCTTATCAGGAGCATTTTCCAGTTAATAGTTCTTCTCGTGATCTACTTATCTCCGTTATTGTTTTGCTTCCTGTTTCCTCCTCCTTGAACAGCCTTCTTTGATTTAACTGAAGCCTTACAGAAAAACATGAAGCAGATAACAAAAGGTGCAGGTCATTTTTATAGAAAGAAATAATGCATATAACTCCATGATTATTCCCACTCACTGAGCCAAGAAGAGAAAAATTAAACCAGATAAGCTGTTGAAAACAATAGATCATATAATGCAACATGTTACCTGTAAAGCATTTAGATGTAATAAGTAAATGTATTCCACAAATAACATTTTGTTGTCAGTCTAGTTATAGCCAGCAAAAGCCCTGATAAAGGCACATTCATACTGATATAAATCTCCCTACTTTACAGAAATAAATAAAAGAATATAAAGTACTTTAAAGTAATAGAGCTACATCTATACTAGTGGGTTTATAAATTTGTATAATTGAAGCAATGCAATCTCTAACTGAAGACAGCTCCAGATAGCCAAGTCAAAGTCTGCGTGTTGTACTCTGTTAGTGAGCATTGCAAAACCGTAGCAATGGGATGAGCCCAACAGCTATATTCCACTTGGACAGGTGCTAAAAAATGTGAAAGTCTATCAGCACACATTCAAAAGATTCTGAGGTCTAAATACATGTAAAAGTGTTATCCATTACAGATGCAGAGTATAAATTTAAAGAAGTAAAAGCTAAGATTATAGGAAATCAGATGTAAATAAAGAACCAGTATGGAACTCTCTCTTGTAAAAGAAAATAGAGCAGATCCATTACTGATGAAGGTAAGTATGAAAGGAATACAATATACCAATAATAGGAGCAATGAGAAATTGAACAAAAAGGCAACAATGAAATAACGTGAAAAAAGTGACACAAAAATTGGGGCATCTTTATGACACTTCCAGTTTGGTCTTCAGGCTCATATGAACTCCAGTGAAGCTTGGGAGCAGATGAGAGAACAGACGCATAGAGCAAGCACTGGAAGTGATGGTCCTCCACTGGCCCTGCCAGAACTGTCTGGATTTGAAAAGATTGATGGAAGGGGGAAAAAGGTTTGATGAAGTTTGTTATTACATCACCATTTCCAAACAGAAGTCCTGGTCTTCCTTCCCACTGGAAATGGCATGCTAGGCACTTTGTGTTTTTATTGGAAACAAATCCACTGAGGAACACCCCATTTTAGGATTACGAGATCTGAAATAGTCTTTAATTGCCCTTCATGGCTGATGGAGCTTTCTACTTTGATTTTCTGTGGAATTGCTCTGGGAACCAGAAAGGTGGAAGACTAGTGAGTTGATGTCATACAGGGTTCATCAGTCTCGCCAGCATATTGCTTTTCTACTCAAGGATCCCTTTCTGCCAGCCTATATAGACACTGCATTATGTCTTAAGGTTCAACAAATTATTCCCTTAAAAACAGTTTTAAAACATTCACAGGCTTATTACACTGTTCTTAGTCGTGGCACTTTTACATGCACTGAGACTTTTATTTGGGCTCCTAGACTCTGCTTCTGCAGAAAGCCGAGGCATACATCCTAGTTTGACTTGGATTCATCTGTCATTAGACATGGGAAGGAAATGTCCATCAAAGGACCCAGAAGTCTACAGAAAGAAGTGTTTCTTCACATGCATCCTCTGCCTGCATGGTTGGTAAACTATTCTCAACCAGTGTTGGAGAGCCACTGCCATAATTGTGTAACTTCATATAAAAACATATGTCAGGTCATATACCACAATTAACTTCGGTGGGATTTTACTGCAATTCATGGATAAGACATATGGAGATTCATCACAGAAGACCTGTAGGGGGGACATATACCACAATTAACTTCGGTGGGATTTTACTGCAATTCATGGATAAGACATATGGAGATTCATCACAGAAGACCTCTGTAGGGGGGGAACCTCATGACTACACTGGAAATAAATACAGATCCCTCTTAATTCTGATAGCTGAGCAGAGAGCAAACTACAATGGCTAATTCTGAAAAGCCTACCACAGCAGAGGTTTACAGAACTTGAAACATGTGACTCAAAATACTTCCAGTAAAACAAGTGAATTTTCACAAAGACCAAGATATCTTACAAATTAGGACTAACAAAGAAAAATTTCATTAGATCTAAGGAAGAGACTATAAAAAAAAAAAAGACTATCCAAAACTTTAAATGGCAGATAGACTCGCTAAGAGCTCGGAGTTCTAAAAATTTATCTCCACCCTCCTTTCTTCTTCAGGATGAGGGAGTACCAGAAATATAAGACTCTGTCCACACAATGGCAAAAAAAGGACTGAATAGGACCATGTCTGTGCTCTGGAAGACAGGGATGTATTAAAAGAAGCATGAGAAAAGTTTGGAGAATTATTAGTGCCTTTGATATCTTATCCCGAACTGGCAGAGGTCTGAGCACATCAGGACTCCATTTCTCAAGTAACCCTAACATCAGGAAAAAAATTTGAAACTAGTTGGTGATGGCAATATTGGGAAAATAAAGCTGCAAGGCTTAGTCTCAGAGTAAGGCAAGAATATGGCACACACGCTATCAGTGATAGTAGTATTGAGTTGAATCAGACACCAGAGATGAGGGACTTAACACAGCCAATGTGAAGCACAGTCCCCACAGCCTTTGAAGATTCCAACACTACTGGTGACAAT